GCTATCAAACATTTTTCACTGACACCAGCTCACTTAATCCTGAAGCCCAGGCCGCATGTAGATTCGTTGTTATGTAGAGTCAAGGACATTGATTTACACAAGCAAACAAGGCGGCAGTATGGGTTGGAAGGCCAGGTGCCCCGGGCCTCAGCCCCTCTCTGGGGACAGCTTCTCCCGGAACCCGGGAAACACCGGCCTCGCACACGGCCTCCGCGTCCTCCTCCCTCCTCACCGGGACCTTGCGAGCCGTGTGAAATAAGTGACCCAGCGCGACTCAATTGCGCGCATCAGTGTCTCCTCCCCACTGCGCTTCACCAGGGCGCAGGACAGGCTCCAGGCGAAGGGCCGGGCAGGCGGCTTCTCCTACATGCCTCAGAGCCCCGGGGTGTGGGGTCGGGACTGGGGGAAGGCCGGCTGAGCTGGGGGCTGCGCCCTGTGGACCGTGGGGAGGTCGCCACCTGCGCGTCGCCCCCTGCAGGCCGAGCGCGCCATCGCGGGGGAGCGGGCACCTGCCCTGCCCTCGCCAATGCCAGTCCAGAGCCACTTCCCCCCGGGACAGCGGCGGGGTCCCCCGGAAACGCCACCCCGGGGCCGTGGGCCTCGGGAAGGGATCGATTCTCTAGGAATTGGTGCCTGAAGGAGTGGAAACATTTAGTAGCTTCATGGAGAGCCGAAAGCTAAAACCCTACCCATAAAGATCAACCCAGTTCCTCCTTTCATTGCAAATAAATCTCCCTCCGTCCTTTCATTTCTCTTAAGTGGAAGAAAAAGCGGGCCTCGTGCTGTGGCCCGGTATCTCAGGGTGAGGCGGATTTCAGGGCCCTTTGTTGCACGCAGGTGCCGCGTCCTTGACGCCAAACATGGGTCCTCCGCCCCCCACTATGCGCTGGTTTTTGCGACCCGGATGTCAGCCCTTCCCGTTGTTTCAATCCTCGCACCTCAAAAAGCTGGACCCAAAAGAAGCTTCCAGGTCCTGAGCCGGCCTCGCCCTCAGGAAGCCGCTGCCCGGTGGTGGGGCCTGCGCCCCGGCCCAGCCCCAGCCCCGCCACAGTGAGGCAGAGCTGCCGGGTCTCCAGCTCCACACGCAGCGCGGGGCCGGGTCCCGCAGGGTGCGGGGGCTGCGTCCCTCGGGCCTCAGGCGCGGCCGGCACGGCTGCTATGCACGGAAATATGAGCGAGTAATTTTATAAGTAACAAAGGGTCAGGGATGGAATGAGGCCCTGTTATCCGATGTCATTTAGAAGCCTTGGATCAGCAGCTTCTTGAAGCTAAAAGTGAATCCAAGAAGCCCTGCCTTTCTCTTCCCCAGCGGTGCCAGCTAAATTTAGCAATAACCTCTGCGTGTTTGCACAAATCGTGTACCATTTGCTGTTTGTGTAAAAACCGATTAGCCAGACACAACTGTGAAACAACTTGTTACTTTTATAGCTGCGACACACAAACAAATTTAGATCCGTTTAGCTTTCGGTGTAAGAAGAGATTAGAGGCACCGGGCCGGGCCGGGCCCCTGCCAGCTCAGCTCCTAGCGTCACCTTAAGGCCGCGAGCCCAAGCCCGAGCCCGAGCCCGAGGCCGGGTTGACGTTCGCCCAGGACGCGATGCTTACACTTACCGCTAACGGGCTGGGGGTTCGCAAGGAAGCGGCTTCCAGAGCGACCCGAGCCCACGCCGACCGCACAGAGCGCAGGCCTGGACCCGCGAGGTGACGTCTCCGGGCGGGCGGCGGCGCGGGCAGCCGGGTCCACGGCGGGAGGAGCACAGGGCCGGACGCATGGCGCGCGGCTCCCGCTCTGGCTTGAAAAGCAACTTCGCATAAGTGACTGCAACAGCTAAATTAATTACAAAATAATTAGAACTGATGCGGTCTGAGGATAGGAGGAGGAACTGGCCTCCCGCGTCAACGTTTCATTTCCACCGTGATACTTCTTTGAAAAGGTCGGAACAGCTCGGATAGACTCTTAAAACTGTCTCTGAGGACGTCACCCCTTCCAGCCCGAAAATCTCGCATTTCGCACTCACCCAGCTAAGCAGGGGGCGGGGAGGGGCGGGGTGGTGGGCACCTGTTTTTAAAAGGGGATTAATTGAGATTCCTTGGCCTTCAGAAAGGCTTGGGGCTAGAGGGAGGGAAAACATCTACAGGAATCCTGTAGAAATCCCTTCTTGAAGTGGAGGGATCACACCCATAGACAGATAACTTATCTGAAAATATTAGGAAGAGATAAAACAACTGTATTATCAGGTTAATGACGATGATACCATCCCACTGCAAAATTTAAAATGCCATCACATAAGTCTAAACACTCAATTGGGTTTATTTAGCACTTCCATAGGAGGGACGAAAAAGAATTTCAAAAACTAAGATTGAAATGCTAAAATAAGGGATGTTTGGAATTTACTTGCTTTTGAAAGGATAATTAAAATAACCAACAACTCTGGTGAAGTTTTCATTAGGGAAAATAATTCTAAAAACTGCACTGTTGTTTAGACTTAGGGTTTTTTTTTAGTGACAGCTTGCTTTACAGAAGTGTCTGGTCATTTATATCTAATGGATTGATCCTGATTTTAAGTGAAAGCTAAGGGGAAAATACACGATTTAAATTAGGTAAACGCCCTTTTTCCAATTAACTTATCCTTACATTCAGATTATGAATTGGCAAAGTTTGAAATGGTCACTATTTGACCATCATTTGGATTTTCTAATGCAGATTCCATTCAAAAATCTTTCCATTTACTTCAGACACCTAAATAAAACGGTAGGCTGACCATTTTAAAAATTTATTTACAAAGTTGTGTACAACACGATGGAATAACATTTAGAATACCATATAGATTCATTCATATATAAACAGACTTATAATAGTGACACTTCGCCTTTTCGAAAATTTTTTCGTATTTAAAATCTCCCAATGTCTTTATACATTCTTTTCTCAGATAAAACTGCGGAGAGTGAACCTTCAAAAAAAATGAAAGTTCAGAGCTCTAAATCTACTGAATTTTTTTTTCTTAAAAAAATAAAAACCCCAAAAGGAAAAGTCAGTAATTTTTATACAAGTATGTACAAAGGCCTTCCCCTGCCCACCCTCCAGGGTACTGAGAGCAGGCGCCGTCGGTGCATTTTGGGGCCAAGCTCGAGCATGGTTTTACCTGTGCAGGAAGCTACTCCCGGCGGGCGCGCGGCGAGGCGGCTCGGTGCGCTCCGGACGGAGGCCGCGGCTGCGGGGCTGGGCGGCGGCGCGGCTCGCGCGGGATCCTGCTCCCGACCCGGTCGGGGCGCGCGGCCCTACTGCGCCGGCCACTTGGCCTGCGCGGCGGCGGCCGAGGCAGCGGGCGGCAGGAACTGTCCGGAGAGCGGCACGCTCAGGAGCGGCGCGATGGCGGCAGTCGTCCGGCTCAGCGACAGCGGCTGGTGCGCGGCCACGAGCGCGGCGGACTGCACGGCCCCGGGTGGCCGCAGGAAGGGCTGAGCGGCGCCCCCCGCCGATCCAGCCCCGGCGCCCCCCGCGGGGCTCCCCGCGCCCCCGGCCACCGCTGCACTGCCCGACGCGCCCGCCCCCGTCGGGCCCGCGCCGATGATGTTCTCGATGCTGAACGACGGCCGCGCGCTGGGCTCCGACTTGACCAGCGCCGTGGCGCCCGAGGCCGCCGCC